AATATGCAGAAAAGAACAGATTGTGATCGAGTGGGAGAGAATCGCACAGTCGATTGTGCATGGCGACGCATCGCCACACCGTACACACTACGGCATATAGACTGTATATATATATACCATCATAAATCGTGGCGACGCATCGCCACGACATGCGTCGCCACGGCATGCGTCGCCACGCCAGAAATCGGTTTTACGTGCGGCTATAGATGTTTCACATCAATAGACATGCTGTCTTCATCGTGCGACACTGTCATTGCAGTGTAAAATTAATTTATTCTGATTATCTTAACTTAGATTCTGACCTTTATCTACGTTTATCCAAATTTAAAAAAATAGGTACAAACTTTTATATAATCCTACCCGATTCCTGAGACGATATCGTGTCGTATTACATAAAAGCAACACGTCGTTTAATGAGTGATTTATACAGTCCGAGGGAAGTTTTCTCTCATTTCTAATTCCAGTAGCGAGACTAATAAAAGATTCTGTACAGACAGACAGACGGGTTATAGCCAATACCCTTTGAGATGATATTTCGAGAAGAAAAATCTAATTGTAATTTAGTCTTAAGTTGCGTACTGTGAGCGATGGAGAAGCTTTGTTATTGATTTTTGTTTGTTTATAATCGAACTAGGAGTGAGTAAATGGTGAACTAGTCGAGTGAACTAGTCGAATACACAAATATCCATGTTCTGGTATACACAACTTATCTATACTAATATTATAAAGAGGAAAGATTTGTTTGTTTGTTTGTTTCGAATAGGCTCCGAAACTACTAGACCGATTTGAAAAATTCTTTTTCCATTAGAAGCCGACATTGTCCCTGATGAACATAGGCTACTTTTATTAATTTTTTTTTAATTTTATTTTTTTGGTTTTATGTGTGTTTTAATGTTTCCGAAGCGAAGCGAAGGCGGGTCGCTAGTGATAGTTATTTGTGAAAACTTTTTTAATGCTGTCGCTGGGCAAACAAGCTCATGGCTCAACTAGTTTTAAGTGGTTACGATTGTGTGACGACAGAAATAAATATAGAAATTAGCGGTATTACACATTGTAGTGCAGCTTTACAGAAGGCCCGGTTGGCAGCGGCTTGGCTCTGCTTCTGGTATTGCTGAAGTCTATGGGCGACGGTAACCACTCACCATTAAGTGGGCCGTATGCACGTCGGCCTACAAGAGCAATAAAAAAAAGCGCCACCACCAGAAACCGCTTGTTGCCAGTCGCAGATCTATACTTAATATTATAAAGAGGAAATATTTGTTTGTTTGTTTTGAATGGGCTCCGAAACTACTGAACCGATTTGAAAAATTATTTCACTCTTAGAAAGTGACACTGTCCCGAGAGACATAGCCTAAAATCTTTTTTGAAAAAAATTAGGGTACCTTGCTTAAACTCCAATAATATAACCCAAGGTATAAAAAAATTACCTATAATATTCTTTACATCGCGTGCCCTGCGAAAACTTTTCATCATAGAATAAAATAATGTACTACGACTTTGTAGAACACATTATTATTTACAAAAAGTGTTGCGATAGCATATGTCCAACTATTGTAGTTATGCCGCAATAAGTGTTCTTTTATTTTAAAAAATAAAACAACGTCAAATATCGTTGAAATTTGTTAAAGACCCGAGCGGAGCCGGAGCTGGTCGTTAGTCGTATAATATACAGAACACGGCTACTCGCTTCCCTGGTACATACCTTAATTATCTTTTTACGTCAATAAAATATTTATTCTGAAGAAGTTTCTTTACTGCAAACGAGATAAGCCACGGGGAGTAGCCCACAGAAGAAAAGTTTTATTGAGATATTTATTCATCGAAACGGAAACGAATTCCACTCAATACAAGATATATCTAAGATATAAATGTTTTTGGAATAAAACTTTTTTAATATGAAGCCGTAGCGTTCCGAGCAATGCCGATATTACGATATTACCTGATATTTCTTTTTTGTGGCTTCTTTTTTGTGAGTTTTTTTTATTTATTGCTTATGTGTGTGGACGAGCTCACAGCCCACCTGATGTTAAGTGGTTACTGGAGCCGATAGATATCTACAACGTAAATGCTCCACACACCTTGAGAGATATAAGTTCTAAGGTCTCAGTATAGTCACAACGGCTACCCCACCCTTCAAACCGAAACGCATTACTGCTTCACGGCAGAAACAGGCAGGGCGATGGTACCCACCCGCGCGGACTCACAAGAGGTTCTACCACCAGTAATTACGCAAATTATAATTTTGCGGGTTTGATTTATGTTTGTTCATTACTTTTAACACTATCCGATATAACTACCCCAGAAACCACGGTGATATGCCATGGATACATAACACAACTATAAGACGACCTCAGGTGAAACTTCATTTAAAATCCATTAATTTTATTTTACGAGTATACATATATTGATTGAACTATCTATTTCTTGAATAAATTGTACGATTAAAATGTATTGTCTTGTGTCAAAATGTCTCTACTAGTAGCACTTATATCAGAAAACAATTAAAAGTAAATTTAAATGCTCGTTACAGTTCCGCTATGTGTGGAACCGGTTTAGTTCCTCCTCCCTGTTTTCATTGTCTCCGTCGGTCTGTTTGTGTTGTTCTTTCATTCCGACTTTTATCTTCATCAAATAAATAAATGAGCAATTTTAAGCCTCACTCAAACAATACATTCAACGACTCAAACATTACGTGCTACGAATCAAATGGTGCTATAATTGAAATAATTAATGTTGCTTATCGCCACAATCATTAGAACACGATAACTAAATTACTAATGTAATTGTAATTTAGCTTTAGGTATACATAGATTGTAATCATGGCACCAGCCTTAGCACGCATACCTTTAATTCAATGGGTTGCAGACTCAAAATGAGGAAAATATTATATTAGTTTTTGGTGTGTAGAGGCATACCAACTAACGTGTTGATCGCGGATATCGCAGTGTGAGTTGTGGGAACAAGATGGACCTTGAGACATTGTAGATTTACGACGAAAGGAAAGATCTTCCACCGAGCGGGTGATATTGCTCGGTAGACCAAATGGTCCGAATGTTGTCGTTTGGAACTGACTTGCTAATCTTGAAATTGTCGTAAGCGAGATTCAGGCATCTCCGAAATACGTTTTGTTCTGTGATGGCTACCGCTACACCACTCCCCTCCGAGACTGGAGCTCGTGTCATTTAGTTAGCGTTGTCTGTGCTGAGATTAGCTTGCAAGGGCCAGTGCTGCTCGAAATCTGCGGTGAGTTGAGACTGAGCTTAAATACTGCATGAGTGTCGCCACTGCTGCTCGAAGTTGCAGAGAGATTGCACTTGAGACTTCAAGACTAGAAAGCCTCAAAACTAAATCACATTAGAACAACCACTTTTTTCCCCTCACTATTGACTGGTAGCCTGAGAGGCTATTTCAGCTACGTCCGGACGAGTAGCTCACGGACTCAATCTGAGAGAATTCGCAGAGCCTACCACCGGATCGGAATCGCGACACCGCAACCTCAGGTCTGCTTACCGGTAGAACAATAACACCGATACGTGCTAAAACACTTGACACTCATAAGGACATTCCATACAACGGTATGTATTGAAATGTGATTCAATACTTTGTCTTCTATATACTGTCAAGTGAACAAATAGCACATTTACGTCCACCAAACGAACTATCTCTATCAATTAAAGCTCCCGAGTCGAGCTTACAAGAGTCGTTAACTTTAACGCTGAATAGGTTGGCACTGCTCCAAAAGGCTTAACAGAAAATACTGCGCTACATCTACACTGTATGTAGGCTTTGATGATTTTTTTATGGTTCAGAAGAATGGCTAGTGGCGAGACATCTGTCGGCTTTTTGGTCAAACAGTTGAGCCTTCGGAATTATTTGTTTCTCCTCCCATATCACTGGTGGTAGGACCTCTTGGGAGTCCGCACAGGTAGGTACCACCACCCCGCCTATTTCCGCCGTGAAGCAGTAATGCGTTTCGGTTCGAAGGGTGGGGTAGCCGTTGTAACTATACTGAGACCTTAGAACTTATATCTCATGGTGGGTGGCGCATTTACGTTGTAGATGTCTATGGGCTCCAGTAACCTCTTAACACCAGGTGGGCTGTGAGCTCGTCTACCCATCAAAGCAATAAAAAAAAAACTCAGTATATTTAACATGACGTTGATCTCTCCTTTTCGGAAAAGCTATTTGACTCCAGCCCCCTCGAATGTAGGTGCTCCTCTAACTCTCTACTACTTTCTACTTTTAGTAGTAAGATAATGGTACTAGCAGAAGTAGCCAAAGAAAAATGTCATTTTCCGAAAACACTTCAATGGTATTAGATTACTATTAAATTCCGGCCTGAAGATGGCTGCGGGAACCACCAAAGTCTAAGTGGATCGTGAGCTAGTCTATCCACATTATTAATAGAACCTTCCTGAAGAATACGAGCGTATCTGGCTTCTTCCTCGTTAGGCCATGAACACTTCGATCTCCACAGATTCGATCGGAATCAAATTGCTGCTGCAAAACACGCGTACTTTCGCCACTAGTACTTCGCCACTAGGACGTCTTGTGAGTCCGCACGGGTAGGTACCACCGTCCTGCGTATTTCTGACGTGAAGGAGTAATGCGTTTCGGTCTGAAGGGCGGGGCAGCTGTTGTAACTATACTGAGACCTTAGAACTCATATCTCAAGGTGGGTGGCGGTATTTACATTGTAGATGTCTATGGGCTCCGGTAACCCCTGAAGACCAGGTGGACTGTGAGCTCATGTACTCATCTATGCAATAAAAAAAATGTAATAGAAACTACGACTTCATGTATGCATGATGGTATATGTGGTCTCCACTCACACTTAACGCAAGGTGTGTCAGTAGCTGATTTCTCCATCTAATCTCGCGCAAACGGTGGTTCAATAAAACAAACTATATTTTATAAAAACATTTACTTTATTGATTACTGCTCAAAGCACGATTACATCTATACATAAACAGTAGGTTAACTTGTTCTATTAATAACGGGGATCTTTTGAACAACTAACATATTACACTTACAAAATTAACTTACATAGTAATCATTAAATTTTAAATAACAAATTCTAATTAAGCATGTGACTAGTACTTCTCTTAATAATACGTAATTATACATAACGCTTAAAACTTATTAAGTAAATTCAAAATTTCATCAGCCATTTCTATATTCGGGCTCAAAACACGGAAATGTGTGAGGAAATTTTCATTATCACCGAGACATTTATTTACATTTTACAAATATATAAATGCGTACATAGATCATCTAACTAGACATCAACCGCAAACTTAACTAAACGTTTTCAAATGTTAACCACGTACTTGATCTCTACAGCTTTCCGTTATTTACACATTTCCAACTCAACACTAGTGCTAATGAAAATTCAATGCATATATACAATATGTTCTATAAAAAGTATTTACAAGTAGGATTGAATCCGTGTACAGACAGTCGGTGGTTGCTCAGACGGCCGTGGTCCGTTGTCCCACGTTCGATGCCCGACCGCGACCTGCTCCTCACACGATGTCGTGACAGGAGTTCCCGTTGCCTGTACGTGTAGTTTTGGTGGCCTGAGGGCGTCCAGAAAAGCCATCGTTGTACGGCGGCGGGCAGTACATTACCTGGAAAAATAGTTCTTTATCAGTCCAGATAAGTATTATTGAAAAATTACGAGCATATTGGAAGGAAAAACTTTGTATCCCTTTTTATGATAATTGCGCCGACAGAGGAGTATGAAATTTCCCACACTTATAGAGAATATAGAGAAGGAGTGCAGAATGTTAATATTTTTTTAAATTATGCCTAAAAAATACATTAAATCAATAAAAAAAAACAATACACACTACCATGTATTTGACGCACACACGCATGCATACTATTTATTTATTGTTAAACTTTTGTTCTTGACGTCTGTGGTCAAATTGAGAATAGATCAAATATTGTTTGTCTTTATTAATATTTTTTTATAGTGTAGTCTTGGCGTAATTTGTGAATATAGAAGTATAATAGTCTTTGAAAATAGAATCATAATAGTGTCCATACTTTTAATTTCAATTAATTATAGTCGAATTTCGACTACTGGGCGACCACTAGTAATAATAAAATACAAATCTAAAATACAGGGCATTATCATTATAAACGATCTCTTCTCGTCTGCCAAATTATTCATTAAGTATAAAATTACCTAATAAAATATTTCTATATGCAAGAGCCAAATCGTTTATAAATATGTATTAGTTAAGTATTATATGTATTAGTTAGCCCATCGCACGCAACTAAATGCATTTTTCAAAAATCCAAAACTTCGGTAAGCTTTTCGATGAAACTGTCAAATTTAAGATTCTCAATTCTTATTTACTTTATCCAAACCTAAACAAAACATCCAATCTTTGATCTTAGAATCTTTGATACAATATATCCAATAAAAACACCTTTCAGCAATATTTCGGGCTCCCTTCGATGTCGGTAACAAGGTGTAATCTACGGAGGAAATTGAAGGACATGCTCAAGATTAGTCGGGATTACATTTTCTCCAATGTTATCGCCCTTTTACCCTGATAATCCGCCGGGCTTGTCAGCTCGGTTCGCGCTCATTGGTTGGTGTGAAAATATTTCTACGACGACGTCCTATCCGAGCTTGTGGCAAGTGTAGCCGACTCGTTCTAAGTGACAGCTTAGACTTACAGGTCTTTTTGTAGTTTCATTTAGTTTTTTATTGCTTAGTTGGGTGGACGAGCCCACAGCCCACCTAGTGTAAAGTGGTTACTGGAACCATCTACAACGTCAGTGCGCCACCCACCTTGAGATATGAGTTCTAAGGTTTCAGTAAAGTTACATCGGCTACCTCACCCTTCAAACCGGAACGCATTACTGCTTCAGGGCAAAAATAAGCAAGGCGGTGGTACCTACTCGTGCGGGCTCATAAGAGGTCCTACCATCAGTAAGAGTAAAGTTAGTTTACATTAATGATAGTTCACGCATGGGGTAGTTCGGGCGTCAGTTCTTGATATTAGTCTTGTACTGATAGATTAAAAAAAGGAATTGCAGTAACAGCAAACTGAGAAATAAGATAAACAAAACGTAATACGAGGAATTGCTAAAAATAGTCACTCAAACTTGTCAACTGAAACATAGAATCTGTGACGTCTACAGAGCTTTGGCCCTGCACCATGATTCCACTTGCGTGCGTTCAATAGCATGACTATGAATACAGTTAGATTAATGTTCAGTTCAATTTGCAAGAACATTGTTGTACCCTGTATAAGTTTTAATTATTATTCAAATATTCATGTCGGTATAACAAAGGTAATGTTTCCGATAAGCTCGTCCTGTAGTTCGAAAGTTCGAGTTATTAAGCTCTCGAGCTCTGGTGTAAATGGAGCTTTGTATTTGTACAAATTTATAAAGTTTGCAATCTTCCTAAACGTTTAAGTGCTAGTGAAAAGTGATTCTAGAGTTTTTTTTTATTGCCTTTGTAAGTAGACGAGCGTACGGCCCATCTGATGGTAAGTGGTTACCGTCGCCCATGGACTTCAGCAATGCCACGAGCAGAGCCAAGCCGCTGCCTTCCGCTGTAGAGTTTTTAAAGATGACCTGTTTGGAGAGCATTCCAAGGGCTCTCGCTGCCCGAGGGCATAATGTCATCTGTTCCGGTTTGAAGGGTGGAAATGACGTTGTATCGAGATTGACTTTGTGTCTGAAGGTGGACTATGATGTTAATGGACTCCAGTGACCACTGTCATTGAATGGGCTATGAGCTTGGTAACTAAACAATAAGTAACCATAATGTATTTGAGGTTTTATGTCGTTTTTAAGTTCCTGCTTCAAGACTTTGATGGTAGTTTGACTCCAGCTGGCCGTAAGCTTTTCCACCGACCTCAAGGTGAACAAAACATTTTTATTTCAAAGAAAATAAAAATAAAGAATCTTCCTAAAAAACCTGAGTACATTCTTGCGCCAAACGACTGAAGCTCTAATTTAAGCTGCAAAAGCACTTAATTTTTTTAAAGCTCATAATATAATCTATTATGCTCTTAATGAGAGAAAAGTTCAGAAGCACTTTGAGTGAAACAATACGTTCTCATAGAGTTTTTACTTCATTTAATGAATTTTTTGTTCATAAAACGAATGGGGACTTTAACACAAAATTTAAGCAGAGTTTAATATGACACTCGATACTTTTGAGTATGTTTCAAACGCTCTAGTCGGGCTTTCAACGTTATGCAATAAAGGTACGAATGCACGAAGTGTCTTGTGAATGTACTTCTGAATTATTTGTACTTGAATAAAAAAAAAAGATTAAACATTTCACATTAAGTAGTCAAGAAAGCTCACAACAGGATTGTCATCAAGTCCAAATAATGTCAAAAGACAAGGCACTCTTCGCCACTCTAAATGAGTTGACATTCTCACGGCCCACCTGATATTAAGTGGATTCCCACGTCTCAAATCTCAACCTATAGGTACACTGGAACATGAAGTTTTGGGGAGATATACGACAAAGGGAAGATCTTCCACCGAGCGGGTGATATTGCTCGGTAGACCGACGGTCCAACTGTTGTTGTTCGGAACTTGTATATATGCAAGCTTATCTTGAAAATGTCGTAAGCGAGATTCAGGCATTTGCCAATTATCTTGTGTGTGTGTTTTTTTTTATGATGGCTACCCACCACAAAGTAAATATCTCAAATTGTATAGTTTCGTGGCGTGGAAGCCTGGTGCGGCTTGTGCACGCACATCTGTGGCAATCGGGCACTGCGCTCACGTTCACAAGATCCCGGTTATTTTAGTGCAATTTAAACATTATTTATTTTATCTTAAAATTTTGTATGGAACCCTTTGTACGGTGATTTCATCTACTACAGCGCAATTTGCGGACAAACACTGACTAATATTATTTGATGGCCAACCCTGTAGATGCCTATTAAATTAATATTAATGTAGTTTTAAGAGAACAGGAGAAACAATTTTGTCATACCCATTAATAATACTACTCTTCTCACCGCGTCGTTTCTAAATTCCGCGTGATGTAATGAACTTATAAGATAAGAACCGACGCTTACGTTATGGTGTTCTGGTAATCTGTTAATTAAGTGCCAGTGAGGTGTCATTGTCTCTCTTTTCAATACAGAAGCACAAATAGAAAAAACGTAAGTAAAAATATAAGAATAGAAGTAATTAAGAAACACAAACTCGCACAGTTACCGGATTCCATAGCTCGTACCTTCAAGTCACCGTTCCCTAATTAATTAATTTGATAAATCGTCTCAAACACTTATACACGACGTGAGGACTATCTCCAAGTTCCTAAGTATGTTTAAACTTGTTTTTATATACAGGCAGTTGGATTATTATTTTTACAGACGATCCAACTCACGTTGGAGTTAGTTCGTGAACACATGCTAGGTACGTAATTTGATTCATGTTTCTTTGATCAAAGTTTTCAATGATCTATTCTTAGAATAAACTAACATTTAGAGGGCTTTGTTGTTCTAAACGTATTTAGGTTGATCTTTCAATGTGGAGTACATTAAAACTATTTATGGAATCAATTGTTTTGGATGTAAAAGCTTTTACTGAGTAAACTTACAAAGTTTAACAGACTTCCAAGGCCATGTAGCCCACATTAACCGGTGAATTTGCACCGATCGAGTTTGATAAGGGTAAAGTTTATAAGTTATTTATTTATTTATTCAGACACACCAAAAGCAATACACACAAAACATTCAAGCTTAAAATTAACAAATATAAAATTAAGTACTGGTATGTAAGCCAGTTACAGGCATGTACAGCAATCTCTTATAACACACTATGACATGTTACAGCTATTTTACAAACAGCGGAAAAATAGGTTAAATTTAAATGTTAACAGTACGACATAAGAAAAAAATTTAAAAGAACATGAAAACAAGAGTTAACTACTTAACATTCTCTCATCAATTATAAACAAAGAAACTTGGATACTAGTTTGTTTTGGAGACCAGGACACGTGTCGTTAATAATGTCGATGCCGTCAATTAATGTGCAAATATTTGGTTGTATTCACTACAAATCTTTGATAAAGGGGAATAGTTATATAAGTTATATTGAAGTTAATAATAGTTTAATGTAAATTTGTAATAATTATTGCCGAATTCGCATGACTACTTTGTGCAAAATAGGCAGGCGCATTGTATGTACTAATTAATAACTTTGTCGTATAAAAAAATATATACTTAAGTCTTTATTTAGAAACAATCGAACCTGTCCAATTATATATTCTAAGCGTAGTCGCCCTAAGTACAGCGTCTCGCTGACTAGACCACATATGCTTCGATGCCTGAAGTCCTCGTGGCGTAAACGATAATACGCCAGCTGTACTTCTATCGAGTAAGATTTGTCAATGCAACTACGCCGAAGTAAGTTCTTTGACGTAAAGTTCAAATCGCGTAGGAAGGTGCCAATTTTTCTATTGAAATACGTACTCAACACCTTGCACCTTGTCTAAGCAAATAAAAAAAATGCACACGTAAATTCGTTCTCACAATAAATGCTTTTGTGTTTTTGTTTTTTGAAACACAACGTCCGTTTGATCGGGCGAGTCGTGTAACTATCACGTAACAAAGAATTGAAAAGCATCAAACGGGGACGGACTTCAGGCGTGTATTGACGCGGCACACGCCACACTGCGCTCAGAGGAAGTTTTGTTGATAAATCTGATGTTAAAAATGGAGTGCGCAGATAACTAGTGTATGTCACCGTATGGAAAAAATCAATATATACTAATATCATAAAGAGGAAAGATTTGTTTGTTTGTTTGTATGGAATAGGCTCCAAAACTACTGAACCGGTTTGAAAAATTCTTTCACTGTTTGGAAGCTACACTATTCCCGAGTGACATAGGCTATATATAACCTTTTTAAAAAAGTTAGGGATCCTTACTAAAACTCCAATAATGTAACCCAAGGTAAAAAAAATACCTAAAATATTCTTTACATCGCGTGCCCTGCGAAAACTATTGATGATAGAATAAAATAATGTACTTCGACTTTCTAGAACACATTATTTAAGAATTATTATTATATATTTAAGAGTTCTTTTATTTAAGAAAATAAAACAATGTCAAATATCGTGAAAAGTTTTTGTTAAAGACCCGAGAGGAGCCGGAGCGGGCCGCTAGTAAAGTATATAGTGGAGCTCTAAATATGCTCCCAAAGACAGAAGTGGCTTAGATACTGCTGGATTGGACTGGTGGATCATCTCGGAGCTGCTCATTAGCAAAAGCACGAGACCTGGGCCGATGGCATTTACCAATGCCAATAATCTCTTCAGATTGCTGCGCCAGTGGGGTTTGTGAGTGAGTTGCAGCCTTCATAGTTTGAGTATTTAAACCAATTCAATCCAATAATATTTGATTAATTTTCAGTGACACCGATATGCCACTCGGTCTGGTTGAACTATGTACAAAATGACGGAGCATCATTATCCTGCTGATAAGTCTGTAATCGTCCGAGTTCATCAAGACAGCTAAGTAACACGGAGGCAGGCGGTGCGGTCGTCTGCAGTGCAATGAATTACCTTTCGGAATGCAACCCTGAAGTTTTCCGAGAGGAACGCGTAGAGCACCGGGTTGACGCAGCTGTTCATGTAGGCGAGCACGTGGGACACGATCTGGGCGGTCACCGTGAAGTACGTGATGTGGTACTTGTTCAGAGCCTTCACCAGCAGAATTATCTGAAACGGAACGCCAACTATGAAAAGGATTGGTAGAGGCGACGTGAGATCCAAGTTTGTAGTTGTTGAATACAGCTTTCCAATTCACATGACTGGAAAGTGTTATCGCTTCATTGCCGAAATATTTTTATTATTTTTATTGCATAGATAGGTAGACAAGCTCACAGCCCACCTAATGTTACGCGATTACCGGAGCCCATAGACATCTACAACGTAAATGCCGCCACCTTGAGATATGAGTTCTAAGGTCTCAGTATGATTACAACGGCTGCCCCACCCTTCAAACCGAAACGCATTACTGCTTCAAGGCAGAAATAAGCAGGGCGGTGGTACCTACACGTGCGGACTCACAAGAGGTCCTACCACCAGTAATAGTCAAAATGGGAGGGAACCAACCCTCTTGGTGCAATATATAGTAATACTATGCTACTGTACAAATAGCCTGTCTAATTCTGCCGAAAAATAAGTAATGCCGTAAGAAGTTTTATTTTGAAAGGTGGGACGGTCATTATTCCCAGTAGGTCGTGATTTTGATCCGGTGGTAAATTCTGCGAAGCACTGCTCTTGCTACCATACAATTACATACAATGCAATGCATACAGATATAGAATACAATTATATTATATATGAAGATGGGGAACGTTATTCAAGTTGTCATGTCCATAAGCTCCGGTAGCCGCTTACTTCAAGTGTCCTTCAACTTCAAGCTTGCTTATCTACGAGTGTAAATACAATAAACATTATAACAAAACTTGTTCTCGTCTCGTTTGTGTATTTACGACACAAACAAATAATACACCAAAAAATTCAATGGCGCTATATAATTTACTATTTAATATTTTGCGAAAATTAGATATTTCTTAGTTTATTTGTTATAAATATAATAATCGATTGTAACAATTTTTTTTTTAAATTATTTTCCAATCAAACTGGTTCATCGAAATTATAGTAACTTAAGTAAATTATATTTATTTCATTAAAATGCCTTTTGTAAAACATAGAATATAATTCGATAATACTCGAGGAAGTTGACATGGAGAAACACAGAAGATTAATCTGGAGAAATATAACAAAAAAAAAAGTGTGAATACATATTAAGCGCACATACACCGCACCCCGCACCCCGCACCCCGCACCCCGCACCCCGCACCCCGCACCCCACACCCCGCACACCGAGTACCGAGCGCAGAACAATAACTAGAGATAATTTATCGATAAGTAACTAACGGAACTTCCACATAACGGAAAGGAGCTTCCGCGAATGAATAATTACTTTAATCGAACTCTAATAAGTATTAACAATGAATATTTAAGAGCTTAGAAGGGAACAAACTTCATTTTGTGCAAAGTATTTTACTAGCATTTCATAATTATCATTAAGTCTCTTTATTATTATTATTTATTTCGTATTAAGCAGTTTCTGCATTTTGCTGCAGAAAAGCTCTACGTGCTTCAAGGGTGGGTGAACCCTACATTAAAAGGGGCATTAAATGGGTAGGAACAATAAAAATTGCATATGGATAAAAGCAGAACTGCTCATAAGTAGAATAATAATTAACTGTAACTCTGATATTAACTACATCAACACAATGTTAAATAGGTTGTTCTTAATCAGCTCAAAGTAAATAAAATAACTTTCAGAAAATTTTAGAGGAGCACGACGAATGACACGGATGCGATTTAACTAAGCATTTGAATAAGAATTGAAAACACTTCACGTAATTTTAATGTTTAAGTCTGCGGTCATACATTACAAATACACTTATTATATCAAAAAACGAATCTCAGGCTAGTTGCGCATGTCAACCCCTTAAATTCAGAACAGCTTTAATATCATGAATTAACGCCACATGTTTCGTCATAAAATGAAATGACGTGAAATTAAACAGGGAACTCGCTTTCAAAAGCTCAGTGCGCAGCTTGGGATTATGAGTATCACGGTTCGCAACTTGTTTCATGCAGAATACCAGCACAATAAAATTAGTATACTGCCTTGTGCTTAAAAGCTTAGCATTTGCATCTTAGTTTTATTGTTACATAGTCACGAAGTAATGGTTCTACGAAGGAATTCGTAGAGCTTTAGTCGGCTGGACTTTGCATATTTACATTTACGTGGAGAACGCGTTGTTTTTTTTTTTTTATAGCCCTTGTAGGCAGACGAGCATACGGCCCACCTGATGGTGAGTGGTTACCGTCGCCCATGGACTTCAGCAATGCCAGGGGCAGAGCCAAGCCGCTGCCTACCGATGTGGTCCGACACAGTCCTACCGTTTGTACGCTGGAGGGATACGATCGGATTTTATCTGTTCAAAATTATAAATTTGAAATTATATAACGTTTTAGACATCGATTGGATATATTTTAGGTTAGAAATCTCAGAAATATAAAGACAACTAACTACACGGTTTTTGTATCACAGAAATTTAGCTAAATTAGACCGTAGCTTTGTGCATTCAATGTTGAGAGACTGGTAGATTGTTTGCTCATTTATACCAAATAGCCACAGATTTTTACCATTTTGAATTCGTCATGGCCCAAAGGATAAGACTTCTGGTGCATTCGTATGTAGCGATGCACCGGTGTTCGAATCCCGCAGGCGGGTACCAATTTTTCTAATGAAATACGTACTTCACAAATGTTCACGATTGACTTCTACGGTGAAGGAATAACATCGTGTAATAAAAATCAAACCCGCAAAATTATAATTTGCGTAAATACTGGTGGTAGGACCCCTGAGAGTCCGCGCGGGTAGGTATCACCGCCCTACCTATTTCTGCCATGAAGCAGTAATGCGTTTCGGTTTGAAGGGTGGAGAAGCCGTTGTAATAATGAATACTGAGACCTTAGAACTGATATCTCAAGGTCGGTGGCGCATTTATGTTGTAGATGTCTATGTAACCACTTAACACCAGGTGGGTTGTGAGCTCGTCCACCCATCTAAGCAATAAATATATAATACTCTGAATCAGGCCCAACCGTTCCTATGCCGTCGTTTGTATATCTTGAACAAGCTTCCTTAGATATCTGTAAGGCGATCTCGGACAATAATAACAGCTTACAAAACGTAAGTGTTATAATAATATAGTTGCGCTATCGCTCCTACTGCTTACACTAACACAGTATTGTTTAAACCATGTTCAAAATTCGAGTATGATAATTTTGAAACAATAACATTTCTTATCCACGGTTCTAGCTTCATTTGGGATGGTATACTGAAAATGTATTAATGTTATTCTAACTATTATACAATTCCGCAATGATCTTTCATAAAAATATTCTACTAAAGGGTTTGGGTTTAATTTAATTTAATAGATAGATAGAGTGCTGCCTCAGTTGGCGATAGTATTTCTAACACGAAGCTTTGCGCTGCGGCTGGAAGGATGGATCACTCGATACACAATTGGTCTTGTTTGCTGTGGGCAGTTTACTTGTAATGTCTACAGTATCCAATAACTACTTAATTTTAAGTAGAATTTGACCACATTCGCTCATTAAGAGTAATAAAAAAAACAGCAAGGTTTTTATGACAGGCAAAACACAAAGTGAACAAAAAACTCAGTTTTACAGTATTTAAGAATAATGAGTCCAAAATTGGAAAACAAAGAAATGATGAGAGGGCTAGGTTTTTTTTTAATTGCTTAGATGGATGGACGAGCTCACAGCCCATCTGGTGTTAAGTGGTTACTGGAACTCATAGACATCTACAACGTAGATGCGCCACCCACCTTGAGATATAAGTTCTAAGATCACAGTATAGTTACAATGGCTGCCCCACCCTTTAAACCGAAACGCATTACTGCTTCACAGCAGAAATCAGCAGGGTGGTAGTACCTAGCCGTGCGGACTCACAAGAGGTCCTACCACCAGTAAAGGTTAGGTTAGGTTTTCTTTTCTTTATTTCATTAATGCCAAAAAAAGTGGCTCGTCATGCCGCTTTCTACCCATAAAGATCGAAACAAGCGTTTATACTATAAATGTCTCGACTACGCACTATATATGTTTACTGTATTTTTTTGAATGATTTGAGGTTTTTAAATTAAAATTCGTAGTTTCTAATGTTCATCGATAAGGAAACAGATCAACTGACGCTCCTACTCGTCCACTCGTCAGGTGCCGCAGTACAATCAGCAGGAGATCAGTGCGAGACTTCGGTAACCAGATCCCATCGGCCGAAGCCCTCACGTGTCTTTACACTTCGCAACCATCTTTCACTTCCATGACCTGTCAAACTTAATAAATAGTTTCCATTGCAACACTATATAAAAAATGCAACAATTTTGAAACATAATTGTTGAAAAATAAATTGTTTTTTTACGTGTTACTCACTTACTTCTCTAACAGTGTGAAATGAAAATTAAGATTAGTATGTAGAAATAGAAGAGTGAACGGAACGTAATATCTAACCTGAATAGGGCACCAGCAGACAGCAAACACTACGACGACCACAACAACCATTCTGGTGACTTTTTTCCTGCCCCTCCTGCTCTCTGCTGACACCCTCCCACCGGGCGCACTCTTCCAAAGCCTCGTTAGCATGCACATATACAGGACACTGATCAGCGCGAGAGGGATCACGTATGATGATAGGAAAAATGACATTTGAAAGCCAAGCTTGCTGTATCCACGCTCCTCTAGGAAAACACATGATGAATGATTCCTGTTGAAGTAGGAATACTCTCTCTCTCCGTGGCAGATACCGACTGGTATGGCAGTGGTTAGTATTACTACCCAGATGCAGGCGATAGCCAACAAGGCATTCTTCTCAGTCCTGATCGACATGGAAGCTATTGGGTGCACTACTGCCATGAATCTGTCCAAGGACATGAGTACCAGAGTATAAACTGATGCATGAGCAGTCACAACAATAAAGTATTGGACCACTTTGCACCACCAGTCTCCGAATGGCCACCTGGGCATGACGTAATCCGTAGCAGTGAAGGGGACGCAGAAAATAACAAAGAGCAAGTCAGCGACAGCCAGGTTGATGATGAGCAGGTTCGTAGTTGATCTCATGCCAGGGTTTGCCGCTACCACCAAGACAACCAGAGCATTGCCAACGAGACCAACGATTCCGATAAAGCCAAAGAAGATGGGGACAACTCTGGATACGACTTTCTCAAGGAGCTCTCCATTCTCAAAGTCGGTTGTGTAATTACAGTTTCCGAAGCTTGGGTCTTCGGCAGTCAGGTTCAGACAGATAGTGTAGAATTCGTCTTCGGTTGACTCCATTTTGAATGATATTAATGTTTCATTGCTGAATTTTACCTGAAACAAACACAGGATTATAAAGACCTTCATTCTAACGGACTGATTTAATATCACCTATTAATATAATTTATGTTTGGTCTTTATGAATTCGGGTTTAGCTGTGACACTAGAATGTAATGATTCTACTTGGGATCGGCGTCATAATTCAACCTGTGTACCGGTATGATAATATCCTCATTTTGAGGGTAATCCAGTCCAAACCGCTCAAATATACGATTACATTTATGTGAGGCTTTATTCACAAGGGCTGTTGTGTTGTATTATTTACTATTATAAAATTATTATCTGTTACGCGCTTCGCTAGCGTTATATCCCGCAGGAATTTATTTTTGGTTGGATGACAGGAAATATCTGCTTATTTCTGCCGTGAAGCAGTTATTCATTTTGGTTTGAAGAGTGGAGTAGCCCTTGTACATATTATAAAGCTGAGACTTAGAACTCATGTCTCAAGGTGTGTAGCGACATTTACGTTGTTGATATCTTTAAGCTCGGTAACCACTTAACACCGGGTGAGCTGTGAGTTAGCCCACCACCAAAAAAATAGTTTTTAGACCCTTGACAAGAGGTATGCAAAATAAAATACATTTTTCATACCTATCTAGTGCGTAGTTTTAGATGGTTTCCCATTATTGTTCGTAATCAATTACCACAACTTTAGCCCTAGGGTTGGAACTAGTTGTGGTTGAAGTGCTTCTGAAGTTCGTTTGTTTTAAATTTGAATATAAATTGAAACGATTTGTTGTGTAAAATATGTTTAGCATCCGACGGCACGCACAGCTTCGATCAATTTCACTTATACCTAGTCAGGTCATAAATTCTGTCACATGTTTAATGTAAAATAATTGAAACAAGTTTATTCATTATGTAACCATTCATATACCAAAATGAACTTAACAAAACATAGATTCTTATGACACTAAAGTTTATTCAAAATGACCTCCGTGATTTTGAATACAGGCCTTCAATCTGCGCGGCCAGTCGTCTATCGCAGCACGAACGNTAAGCGAAATTTCGAGCTGGCTGGCGACGCCAAATCATCGGTATGGTAAAAGCCAATATACAGCGCTACGTATACACACCCTCTGGCGGCACCGCTCGACACTGCGATATGCTTTTCCAAACGTTTCTGAGGCAATTTGGTGACCATCTCAAAAATTGATATAGTAACCATAGCGTCATCTACAGTTGATTGGTGTTAAAAATATTGAGAAAAAAAGTGGCGACCGCATATTGGTCGCCAAATGTCGGTGGTCGCCACTTTAAATGTACTTTTGTGTTCATTGGATGCCAAAAGTGTTACAGGATATATATATATATATATATATATATATATATATATATATATATATATATATAAAGTTATATTGTTGTTAATAATAGTTTAATGTAAATTTGTAATAATTATTGCCGAATTCGCATGACTACTTTGTGCAAAATAGGCAGGCGCATTGTATGTACTAATTAATAACTTTGTCGTACGAAAAAAATATACATAAGTCTTTATTTAGAAACAATCGAACCTGTCCAATTGTATATTCTAAGCGTAGTCGCCCTAAGTACAGCGTCTCACTGACTAGACCACATATGCTTCGATGCCTGAAGTCGTCGTGGCGTAAACGATAATACGCCAGCTGTACTTCTATCGATTAAGATTTGTCAATGCAACTACGCCGAAGTAAGTTCTTTGACGTAAAGTTCAAATCGCGTAGGAAGGTGCCAATTTTTCTATTGAAATACGTACTCAACACCTTGCACCTTGTCTAAGCAAATAAAAAAAATGCACACGTAAATTCGTTCTCACAATAAATGCTTTTGTGTGTTTGTTTTTTGAAACACAACGTCCGTATGATCGGACGAGTCGTGTAACTATCACGTAACAATGAATTGAAAAGCATCAAACGGGGACGGACTTCAGGCGTGTATTGACGCGGCACACACCACACAGCGCTCAGAGGAAGTTTTGTTGATAAATCTGATGTTAAAATGGGGTACGCAGATAACTAGCGTATGTCACCGGATGGAAAAAATCAATCTATACTAATATCATAAAGAGGAAAGATTTCTTTGTTTGTTTGTATTGAATAGGCTCCAAAACTACTGAACCGGTTTGAAAAATTCTTTCACTGTTTGGAAGCTACACTATTCCCGAGTGACATAGGCTATATATAACCTTTTTAAAAAAGTTAGGGATCCTTACTAAAACTCCAATAATGTAACCCAAGGTAAAAAAAATACCTAAAATATTCTTTACATCGCGTGCCCTGCGAAAACTATTGATGATAGAATAAAATAATGTACTTCGACTTTCTAGAACACATTATTTATTACAAAAAGTGTCGCAACAGCATATGTGTGTTCTTTTATTTTTAAAAATAAAACAATGTCAAATATCGTGAAAAGTTTTTGTTAAAGACCCGAGCGGAGCCGGAGCGGGCCGCTAGTAAAGTACCTATATATAGTGGAGCTCTAAATATGCTCCCAAAGACAGAAGTGGCTTAGATACTGCTGGATTGGACTGGTGGATCATCTCGGAGCTGCTCATTAGCAAAAGCACGAGACCTGAGCCGACGGCGTTTACCAGTGCCAAGAACTACTTCACATTGCTGCGCCAGTGGTAGTGGTGAGTGAGTTACAGCATTCATAGTTTGAGTATCTAAACCAATTCAATCCAATAATATTTGATGCCTTTTCAGTGACACCGATATGCTATCTCGGCCTGGTTGAACTATGTACAAAATGACGGAGCACCAATATTCTGCTGGTAAGTCTGTAATCGTCCGAGTTCATCAAGACATCTAAGTAACACAGAGCCAGGCGGTGCGGTCGTCTGCAGTTCAATGAATTACCTTTCGGAATGCAACCCTGAAGTTTTCCGAGAGGAACGCGTAGAGCACCGGGTTGACGCAGCTGTTCATGTAGGCGAGCACGTGGGACACGATCTGGGCGGTCACCGTGAAGTACGTGATGTGGTACTTGTTCAGAGCCTTCACCAGCAGAATTATCTGAAACGGAACGCCAACTATGAAAAGGATTGGTAGAGGCGACGTGAGATCCAAGTTTGTAGTTGTTGAATACAGCTTTCCAATTAACATGACTGGAAAGTGTTATCGCTTCATTGCCGAAATATTTTTATTATTTTTATTGCATAGATAGGTAGACGAGCTCACAGCCCACCTAATGTTACGTGATTACCGGAGCCCATAGACATCTACAACGTAAATGCTGCCACCTTGAGATATGAGTTCAAAGGTCTCAGTATGATTACAACGGCTGCCCCACCCTTCAAACCGAAACGCATTACTGCTTCAAGGCAGAAATAAGCAGGGCGGTGGTACCTACACGTGCGGACTCACAAGAGGTCCTACCACCAGTAATAGTCAAAATGGGAGGGAACCAGCCCTCCTGGTGAAATATATAGTAATACCATGCTACTGTACAAATAGCCTGTCTAATTCTGCCGAAAAATAAGTAATGCCGTAAGAAGTTATATTTTGAAAGGTGGGACGGTCATTATTCCCAGTAGGTCGCGATTTTGATGCGGTGGTAAATTCTGCGAAGCACTGCTCTTGCTACCATACAATTACATACAATGCAATGCATACAGATATAGAATACAATTATCTTATATGTGAAGATGGGGAACGTTATTCAAGTTGTCATGTCCATAAGCTCCGGTAGCCGCTTACTTCAAGTGTCCTTCAACTTCAAGCTTGCTTCTCTACGAGTGTAAATACAATAAAGATTACAACAAAACTTGTTCTCATCTTGTTTGTGTATTTACGACACAAACAAATAAAACACAAAAAAATGCAATGGCGCTGTAGAATTTACCATTTAATATTTTGCGAAAATTAGGTATTTCTTGGTTTATTTGTTATAAATATAATAATCGATTGGAATAATTTATTTTTTAATTATTTTCCGATCAAACTAGTTCATCGAAACTATAGTAACTTAAGTAAATTATATTTATTTCATTAAAATGTCTTTTGTAAAACATAGAATAATTCGATAATACTCGAGTAAGTTGACATGGAGAAACACAGAAGATTAATCTGAAGAAATATAAAAAAAAAGTGTGTGTAAGTTGTACTGCACTTTGTAAATACATATTATTAAGCGCACATACACCGCACCCCGCACCCCGCGCCCAGCGCAGAACAATAACTAGAGATAATTTATCGATAAGTAACTAACGGAACTTCCACGGAACGGAACGGAGCTTCCGCGAATGAATAATTACTGTAATTGAACTCTAATAAGTATTAACAATGAATATTTAAGAGTTTAGAAGGGAACAAAGTTCATTTTGTGCAAAGTATTCTAATAGCATTTCATAATTACTATTTAAGTCAGTTTATTATTATTTATTATTTCGTATTAAGCAGTTTCTGCTTTTCCTGCAGAAAAACTCTACGTGCTTCAAGGGTGGGTGAACCCCACATTAAAAGGGGCATTAAATGGGTAGGCACAATAAAAATTGCATATGGATAAAAGCGGAACTACTCATAAGTAGAATAATAATTAACTGTAACTCTGATATTAACTACATCAACACAATGTTAAATAGGTTGTTGTTAATCAGTTCAAGGTAAATAAAATAACTTTCAGATAATTTTAGAAGAGCAACGACGAATGACATGGATGCGATTTAACTGAGCATTTGAATAAGAATTGAAAACACTTAACGTTTAAGCCTGCGGTCATACATCACAAATACACAAAATATATTAAAAAACGAATCTCAGGCTGGTTGTGCATGTCGCCCCCTTCAATTCAGAACAGCTTTAATATCATGAATTAACGCCACATGTTTCGTCATAAAATGAAATGACGTGAAATTAAACAGGAAACTCGCTTTCAAAAGCTCAGTGCGCAGCTTGGGATTATGAGTATCACGGTTCGCGACTTGTTTCATGCAGAATACTAGCACAATAAAATTAGTATACTGCCTTGTGCCTAAAAGCTTAGCATTTGCATCTTAGTTTTATTGTTACATAGTCACGAAGTAATGGTTCTACGAAGGAATTCGTAGAGCTTTAGTCGGCTGGACTTTGCATATTTACATTTACGTGGAGAGCGCGTTTTTTTTTGTAGACAGACGAGCATACGGCCCACCTGATAGTGAGTGGTTACCATCGCCGATGGACTTCAGCAATGCCAGGGGCAGAGCCAAGCCGCTGCCTACCGATGTGGTCCGACACACTCCTACCGTTTGTACGCTGGAGGGATACGATCGGATTTTATCTGTTCAAAATTATAAATTTGAAATTATAAAATGTTTTGGACATCGGTTGGATATATTTTAGGTTCGAAGTCTCAGAAATATAAAGACAACTAACTACACGGTTTTTGTATCACAGAAATTTAGCTAAATTAGACCGTAGCTTTGTGCATTCAATGTTGAGAGGCTGGTAGATCGTTTCCTCATTTATACCAGATAGCCACAGATTTATATCATTTTGAATTCGTCGTGGCCCAAAGGATAAGACGTCCGGTGCATTCGTATGTATCGATACATCGGTGTTCGAATCCCGCAGGCGGGTACCAATTTTTCTAATGAAATACGTACCTACTTAACAAATGTTCACGATTGACTTCCACGGTGAAGGAATAACATCGTGTAATAAAAATCAAACCCGCAAAATTATAATTTGCGTAATTACTGATGGTAGGACCCCTGACAGTCCGCCCGGGTAGGTACCAACGCCCTACATATTTCTGCCGTGAAGCAGTAATGCGTTTCGGTTTGAAGGGTGGAGCAGCCGTTGTAACTATACTGAGACCTTAGAACTGATATCTCAAGGTGGGTGGCGCATTTATGTTGTAGATGTCTATGTAACCACTTAGCACCAGGTGGGTTGTGAGCTCGTCCACCCATCTAAGCAATAAATATATAATACTCTGAATCAGGCCCAACCGTTCCTATCTCGTCGTGTGTATATCTTGAACAAGCTTCCTTAGATATCTGTAAGGCGATCTCGGACAAAGCTGTTATTGCTTACAAAACGTAAGTGTTATAATAATATAGTTGCGCTATCGCTCCTACTGTTTACACTACCACAGTATTGTTTAAACCATGTTCAAAATTCGAGTATGATAATTTTGAAACAATAACATTTCTTATCTACGGTTCTAACTTCATTTGGGATGGGAGACTGAAAATGTATTAATGTTATTCTAACTATTATACAATTCCGCAATGATCTTTCGTAAAAACATTCTACTAAAGGGTTTGGGTTTAATTTAATTTAATAGATAGAAAGAGTGCTGCCTCAGTTGGCGATAGTATTTCTAACACGAAGCCTTGCGCTGCGGCTGGAAGGATGGATCACTCGATAAACAATAGGTCTTGTTTGCTGTGGGCAGTTTACTTGCAATGTCTACAGTATCCAATAACTACTTAATTTTAAGTAGAATTTGACCGCATTCGCTCATTAAGAGTAATAAAAAAACAGCAAGGTTTTTATGACAGGCAAAACATGAAATAGTATAACAAAGTGAACAAAAAACTCAGTTTTAGAGTATTTACGAATAATGAGTCCAAAATTGGAAAACAAGGAAATGATGAGAGGGATAGGTTTTTTATTTATTGCTTAGATGGGTGGACGAACTCACAGCCGATCTGGTGTTAAGTGGTTACTGGAGCCCATGGACATCTACAGCGTAAATGCGCCACCCACCTTGAGATATGAGTTCTAAGATCTCAATATAGTTACAACGGCTGCCCCACCCTTCAAACCGAAACGCATTACTGCTTCACGGCAGAAATAGACAGGGTGCTGGTACCTACCCGCGCGGACTCACAAGAGGTCCTACCATCAGTAAAAGTTAGGTTAGGTTTTCTTTTCTTTATTTCATTAATGCCAAAAAAAGTGGCTCGCCATGCCGTTTTCTACCCATAAAGACCGAAACAAGCGTTTATACTATAAATGTCTCTACTACGCAATATATATCTTTACTGTATTTTTTTGAATGATTTCAGGTTTTTAAATTAAAATTCGGAGTTTCTAATGTTCATCGATAAGGAAACAGATCAACTGACGCTCCTACTCGTCCACTCGTCAGGTGCCGCTGTACAATCAGCAGGCGATCATTGCGAGACCTCGGTAACCAGATCCCATCGGCCGATGCCCTCACGTATCTTCACACTTCGCATCCTTCTTTCACTTCCATGACCCGTTTTGACCACGGCCCGTCAACATTCGAACCTTAACTACAGTGTCTCCGCTCAAGCGATTTGACGTTCTTCATTGAATGTACTAAACTAAGCATTCAGTAAATTTATAATTTTACGATAACAACGTCATTTTCGGACAAATTTAATCACGTGGCAGTAATTAATTATTTATCGCTAGTTTTCATTATGTAGCTAGTCAAACTTAATTAATAGTTTCCATTTCATAACGATATAAAAAATGTAAATATTTGAAACATAATTGTTGAAAAATAAATTATTTACCGAAACACAGTATTTTGCGTGTTACTCACTTACTTTTCTACCAGTGTGAAATGAAAATTAAGATTAATATGTGAACGGAACATAATATCTAACCTGAATGGGGCACCAGCAGACAGCAAACACTACGACGACCACAACAACCATTCTGGTTACTTTTTTCCTGCCCCTCCTGCTCTCTGCTGACACCCTCCCACCAGGCGCACTCTTCCAAAGCCTCGTCAGCATGCACATGTACAGGACACTGATCAGCGCGAGAGGGATCACGTATGATGATAGGAAAAATGACATTTGAAAGCCAAGCTTGCTGTATCCACGCTCCTCTAGGAAAACACATGATGAATGATTCCTGTTGAAGTAGGAATACTCTCTCTCTCCGTGGCAGATACCGACTGGTATGGCAGTGGTTAGTATTACTACCCAGATGCAGGCGATAGCCAACAAGGCATTCTTCTCAGTCCTGATCGACATGGACGCTATTGGGTGCACTACTGCCATGAATCTGTCCAAGGACATGAGTACCAGAGTGTAAACTGATGCGTGAGCAGTCACAACAATAAAATATTGGACCACTTTGCACCACCAATCTCCGAATGGCCACCTGGGCATGACGTAGTCCGTAGCAGTGAAGGGGACGCAGAAAATAACGAAGAGCAAGTCAGCGACAGCCAGGTTGATGATGAGCAGGTTCGTAGTTGATCTCATGCCAGGATTTGCCGCTACCACCAAGACAACCAGAGCATTGCCAACGAGACCAACGATTCCGATAAAGCCAAAGAAGATGGGGACAACTCTAGATACGACTTTCTCAAGGAGCTCTCCATTCTCAAAGTCGGTTGTGTAATTACAGTTTCCGAAGCTTGGGTCTTCGGCAGTCAGGTTCAGACAGATAGTGTAGAATTCGTCTTCGGTTGACTCCATTTTGAATGATATTAATGTTTCATTGCTGAAGTTTACCTGAAACAAACACACGATTATAAAGACCTTCATTCTAACGGACTGATTTAATATCACCTATTAATATAATTTATGTTTGGTCTTTATGAATTCTGTACTAGCTGCGGCACTAGAATGTAATGATTCTACTTGGGATCGGCGTCATAATTCAACCTGTGTACCGGTATGATAATATCCTCATTTTGAGGGTAATCCAGTCCAAACCGCTCAAATATACGATTACATTTATGTGAGGCTTTATTCACAAGGGCTGTTGTGTTGTATTATTTACTATTATAAAATTATTATCTGTTACGCGCTTCGCTAGCGTTATATCCCGCAGGAATTTATTTTTGGTTGGATGACAGGAAATATCTGCTTATTTCTGCCGTGAAGCAGTTATTCATTTTGGTTTGAAGAGTGGAGTAGCCCTTGTACATATTATAAAGCTGAGACTTAGAACTCATGTCTCAAGGTGTAACGACATTTACGTTGTTGATATCTTTAAGCTCGGTAACCACTCAACACCGGGTGAGCTGTGAGTTAGCCCACCACCAAAAAAATAGTTTTTAGACCCTTGACAAGAGGTATGCAAAATAAAATACATTTTTCATACCTATCGGGTGCGTAGTTTTAGATGGTTTCCCATTATTGTTCGTAATCAGTTACCACAACTTTAGCCCTAGGGTTGGAACTAGTTGTGTTAGAAGTGCTTCTGAAGTTCGTTTGTTTTAAATTTGAATATAAATTGAAACGATTTGTTGTGTAAAATATGTTTAGCATCCGACGGCACGCACAGCTTCGATCAATTTCACTTATATAAGTATAAAGTACAATTTGGAAGTTTATTTTGACAATTTTTTATTTAATTTATTTTATTTATCATAGTATTTTCCTTTGATGTTCATGAGCAAGTAGACTCAGGTTAGAAGACAAAGACGATTAATTTTGGTATACTTGTCGAGTGGTTGAATTTATGGTATGGTGGTAGTATTTAATGTATATCATGGCATTTAATATTTCTGGTGCCTTTTAATTATTATAGCACACTATAATATTGGTTCTTCAGTCAAATATCGAAGACAATTTTACGTATTATAGCAAAAATTGTACAGAAACACTGCAAATTGCGCATGGAAGTGTTAGAATTTTCTAAATTTAAAAATTTTAATGGGGATGCTTCTGAGCTTGTTTTAAAAAAAAACGTAGTCATCAGAGACAATTTACATGATGCTACATCATTACCGGAGCCCACTCACACCACAACCAACCGTAACACAGGAGATCTAAGGCTCGATCGAGGTATTGCAATAGCCGTTTTCCCCCCAGTGAACTCAGCCCGTATGGCGACTTTACGACAGAAATACACGCTACCTGAATTCATAAAATTGGATATTTCATTTTTATTATATGACTTTATGAATGTTTATGAGCTCTCATGGTCGTCAATCTATTGATTGCATTTACAATCAGCATGCGCAATTGTTGCACGGACAATGAATGCGCGGCAAATTTTTATTCTACATATTCCCAGCTATAGTAGGTAGGTGAGCTCACGGAACTCAACCTGAGAGAATTTTCTAACACTGGCCATAACAACAGCAGTGCTTCGTAGAATCTACCACCGGAACGAAATTGGGATCCACATATTGGGCGAGACACTCAGTGGGTTAAAGACTGCGTATGGACTCTACGTTCAAACTAACTTTATTTTATTCTATTTTATGGGGCTTCGAATAACTGAAGAATCGACAGATTTTTTCGTGACTTTGAAGAATCGACAGATTTTTTCGTGACTCTTAGAGTTTTTTCAGACTTTAAACATGACTGGTGGTTTTTACTGGTGGTAGGATCTTTTGGGTCCGCGCGAGTGGGTACCACCATCCTGCCTATTTGTGCCGTGAAGCAGTAATGCGTTTCGGTTTGAAGGGTGGGGCAGCTGTTGTAACTATACTTGAGACCTTAGAAATTATATCTCAAGGTGGGTGGCGCATTTACGTTGTGGATGTCTATGGGACCCAGTAACCACTTAACACCAGGTGGGCTGTGAGTTCGTCCACCCATCTAAGCAATAAATAAAAAAAAAAAAAACAAAAACAAAGAAATCGATGAAGACGATTAGATGTATGAACAAAAGCAGAACAAAACGAATCATGATAAAAAGTTGGTTGACGAACATGAATTGTCTGCAGGAACATTGGTGGGGTCTTTAACCGAGTTCATTTTTTCATTTTTTCATTTTTTCATTATCATCCATAATGAATTTAATTTTCTAGAAGATTCAACAAGGGTATTGATTTTCAAAGAATTTTTTCAGATTACATGTCAAACTTTTTTTTTGGTTTGGAGACGATTTCTATCTCTGGGCCCCGAGCCCGCTGGTGTAAATCAGAGCTCATAGACGCAACATCCTGAATGCTGCTGCTAATGGTCATAATAAAATACCCAGATAGATAAATAGCTAAGGGTGGAAGACACAAAGTTTATGTTAAGATTTAAGATAAGCTGATTAAATTAATACTTGTGGGACTTTTAAGACTTACGCTTTGATGTTCTAACCAACTTTTAGGCCGAGCTTCAACTTCGATAAACTTCCTAAAGCTTTATGTGGGAAGTAACCAAGGGACGACCGTTTGTAGATTCAGAGTCAATACACATTGTTTAGAAAGAGTTGATCATTTATTTATATTGCACATACAAAATAATAGTTTTACTTGACACTTTACGTCGCAGTGCACATAAATATATAACATATACTATAATAAATCATTATTATATTATATAATACATTATCATTAAACATACCACACTTGGTTACAAATTTGTCCAGAACTGAAATTCAATAGTCCCCTCCTATTTTTCCCTTGGACACCGGAGCCGAGTTTCTTCATATAATTTAGAAGAACTGTGTTCATCTACAGTGCGTTTTCGAAGATCTTTTAGCGACGTTCCGGTTGCTTGGAATGAATTTCCTTTCTTCAAACGATATTTGAGGAGTCTTTAGCGATATGCATGAGCTTGGCTCTATCCCTGGCATTATCCACATTTATGATCGACGGTAACCACTCATTATCATGAAGGTCGTTTGTCTACAAAAGCCATATAACAGAAAGAATAGCATCGTGTAGTGAAATTTATAAATTTGCATATAATTTCGTTTATTTGGCGCGGGACGTGTTGTGAGATCGTATCGGTGTGTCCCGCGCTCCGGCATAATTTCACCGTGAACCAATTACGTGTTCTTGTTTTAACAGGGTAACTTAATTGACCACTAAAATTTGCCTAAAACGATTATGATTCTTCAAATAAAATGAAAATTTACTGTTCCACAATATGGCACACCGTAGTGCTCGGAAAGGACGAATAAAATTTTCGAGAATAAATGAAACGTGGTAGATAGTAATATCCACAAAACTACCAACTGATCCTTAAAATCAATCTCTATGTATGCATTTTTGGGCAGAAGAGCATACAGGCTGACAATCATCCAATTCGTCTCAAGGAATTTATGCTCTTCGAGATATAATGCGGTGTTGTTTCCATGTTGAAATTAATTAAAAGATGAGAAGTAATTCGAATAGCGACCATACTCCGTATTTGGGTTAGTTCCGGGACACTGATTTGTCCAATGAAACCTTTAGATGAGATTGGAACACATTGTTTGATCTAACTATTTAGACACATAGCTTAATGACGTCAATACTTGTTGGATATCTAGGTCAGGAATCACTTCGAAAAGGCGGCACGACATGAAAACCCTCTTGTTATGGCCGCCGGGAAATACATACCCGATCCTGTAGACCAGGTAAACAGTCAACTTCGCCCTAGACACGTCATTAGGGATCCTCCCAATCCATTAACGGTGCTTATAGGTACCCCAAGCACCGGTCACTGTCTTCGTCGAACCCGTCGCCTGCGACGAAGGGCTCGACGACTGAATTAACCCATATACACAGCCCACTGAGTCTCTCGCCGGATCCTCTCAGTGGGTCGCGTTTCCGATCCGGTGGTAGATTCTGCGAAGCACGGCTCTTGCTAGGGCCAATGCTAGCAATACTTCTGGTTTGAGCCCCGTGAGCTCACCGACATGTTAGGGTGAAGCCTCTCAGGGCTATCAGCATAGGTAGGAAAAAATAAAGTCAGGAATTGTTGAGTAGGACAAGAAGATATAGATACTAATACCTACAAAAAACAATCTAAGACGAATAATTAGTACGTCAAGGAGTCAAAGTGCCTTGTTTGGCAAGTTTTTTCAATCAATATACAGATGAGAGGTGAGTTTCGTTTATGAATTAATATATAATAAATTACTACAAACAGAAGGCCAAATGTATCAATAAAGTGGGCAGATATCTCTGTGTATCATTTAGGTAATTACTTATTTTTGTTAGCGCAATATCTGAATAATTTGATAGAAATTACCACAACAGTACCAAGTTTCCAAAGAGTTAGAGAACAACCAAACGTACAAAGAAACATTGAATTGTATTTAAATAATGCCTGCCTATTTCTGCCGTGAAGCAGTAATGCGTTTCGGTCTAAAGGGTGGGGCAGCCGTTGTAACTATACTTGAGATCTTAGAACTTATAACTCAAGGTGGGTGGCGCATTTACGTTGTAGATGTCTATGGGCTCTAGTAACCACTTAACACCAGGTGGGCTGTGAGCTCGTCCATCCATCGAAGCAATAAAAATAAAATAAAAAAATGTTGGATATTTCATTTTTATTATTAAAAAATAGATATTGCTTTAGTAAATAAAAGATGTAAACGTGGCAAAGTCACGTTTTTATTTTATAAAATTAGTATTGATAAATGACACAAACTTAAACGTTTTAAACTATCAATGGTTGTCTATATTAACGCTATTATTAAACATTTTATTACCACTGTTTTTTGTTTTAATTAGTTCAGAATTTTTGGAGAGCCTTACGCCGTAATCAATCCGTGATTAAAACTACAGTCGTAGTAAGAATCAGCTAATTAAATGTTCACGAATCTATTGACATATTGACAAGGGAGA